TATTTCGTGAGCTCCCACATGGAGTGGCCAGGCTGGATGCGAGCTTCGCTCGCATCCACCAACCTGCGAGGTGTTAGAGAGTGTGAGAAAAAGAGAAAGAGTGCAGCTCCTGGACTAGGTTCGTCAAGTCAGCACAACTGGAGATCAACGCATTGTTAAGCTTCCTCAAAAACGGCTCAACATCAACCTGAACTCTGTCCCAACCCATGGCGACAGCGCTGGTGTCGTCTTGTCTGCTTATGGCATCAGATGTTCTGGTCAGATCGCACATACTGGAAATGGGGATGTATTCGGTGATAGGCCATCATTGCCCAGAAAGCGTTGGCCCTTGCCATAACCCTTCTGGAGCGCGCACCGGCCGCTCTGGTTGTCGATGTACACTGTCAGGAAGCTAGGCAGACGCCAGCGCATGAAAGTCACTGCGATCAGCACTGCCAAAACTTCAAGCACGTAGATGTATGCTTTTCTAGTGGTGAACTGCGAAACAAACCAGTTGGGGATAGTTCCAAAACCAAACCAACACCCTGTATGAAGCACAAACCCCCAACCGTTGCTCGAAGCCCGTGTCCTTTGCGGGGACCAATTTTTTGGAATGTGATCAGCACCGACTTTGAAACAGGAGCTGCCCAAAACAAAGAAAGCATCCGTGTAAAGCACTGCGCGCTGAGAGTCACTATCCACAAACGGTATCTCGCGTGGTCTGGCATCGCGCAAGATGACAAGCAGTGTGACCATGCTTGGCGCAGGCCATGAGTGAGCTTGTCGTTCACCTTTTCTCCCAGTCCGGCCTCTTGCGTAGAGAGGAAGTAGCGCTGCTCGTCCGACAGCACCGAACAGGGTTGTGGTCAGGAATGCCATTTTACCTGCCAGCTGCTGTGCATCATGCGGAGTGAGGAGGTTCTTGTCCAGCGCAGATTGCAGGGCGCACTCAACCTTGCATCTTCGGTCAGGGCAAGCAGCAACTTCTATGTGAGTGGCTGTGATGGAGAGGACAACTCCCAGGACTTGTTGAGAAGCTGCTGGAAGCTGTTCCTTAGATGGCTTCATGTCCAGACCAAGTGCACTGAAAAGGTCTTTGAAGGCCTGACATCCTGCGAGGGCCACATCAGGAAGATCGATTCCGGTGAAATCATGACCTAGAGGCAGCATCAAGAGTCGTCGAGACAAGGCGACCAACGCATCAGCAAAACGGTTGGAAGCCCAGACTGCTGCAGCTGCTCCAAAGGGCGCCGCTGTGTGGCGCAAGGGTCACCCCGGTGTCGACAACCAACAAAGTGTAACAGTATGCATCTGGCCTGACCGGTAGCTGGCGATAGGCCGCATCTAGGTCTTGCCCCCAGATCAGAGGGGTGCCTGAGTCATACCTTTTGAGCCTCTGAAGCAGTCGAACATAAAGATCCAGGTCATGGTGATGAGGACAATCATCCACAGAGATGGTGGAATTGTGAGAAGACCTTCGAAAATCCTCACATCGCCGAATCTTGTCTGCCTGTTCCACAGCAAAACATAAGGCAGGGTAGACTTCACTGGTAGGCGTCGGAGTGCAGGGGTGCCCGTCGACGCCTACTGTCTGCATCCCCCAAGATGCAGGCGCCGAGAAAGGTCCTTGGACACGACCCTTGGCCTTGTCACGAAGAAGCTCATCAAGCATGGTTTTCCAGTGTGGGCTGTGTTTGGGTTGGCGGATCTTCTCCTTCACGTAGGCCCTGTTGAGCTCATGGAATTGAGACATGGAGATGGGATGTGAGTATTGCCCATCCCTGCGAGGTAGCCAGCCGCTGCCGGAGTGGAGCTGCCCAACCATTGGAAAGCATGTGTGAGGTCCTCCTCCAACTCATCAACGCCTTCGAAGCCACAAATTCTCAGGAGGTGAAGGAGAAGTGGCACTTGGGTCACCAACTTTGTGCCATTCGCTGAGTACACTCCTTGGATTTCTGGCGGGAGTTGTCTGAACCAGTGTTGTGTCGTTGGCTGCCAAGCGTCGACCATGCATCTCACTTCCCCCACCACTTCTTGGCGGAGTAGTTGCAAGTCTTGCCAGTGGGTGTGATGCCTGCAAAGCGTCGCTTCCAATCCTGGCTCAAGCTTGCCGGCTGTCTGAGCTGGATGGGGTGTGTGTAAAGCAGTGGGGCATTCGAGCCACTGTGCTGCCCAATCAACCACTCAGCACATGTCACTATACATATCAAGATATTTCACTACAAAGGCTGGTTCCTGATGAACCCCACCTTAGAAGAACCATCAACAAGCTGATGAACTGACCATGCCACTGTCTTTGGTGGGCGGAAAAGGCACTTGCAGGAGAAACTTCTCTGAAGTCGTTGAAGAGAAAGAAGTTCAGTTTCGCACAGCAACTCCATGCCCAAGATCTTGGCCCAACCAGATGGTTGACGCAACTCTTGATGCCTAGATTCACTGTTCTAAAGATTTTAGGAGCAACCAACGGTGTCACCTCAAAAAGGACCGCTGTTCAAACCCTTGGAAATCAAGAAGAATCACAATGTATATATATATATATATATAAAGAAAAAGTTCAAGGATCCCCTGAAAGGCTTTTTCCGAAAAAGCCTGGTCGTCAATGTGAGATGCAAAACCCTGTGTGTCCATGTGTCCCTTACTTTGGAGCCTTTGGAGAAGCAGTTTTTCTTGGCTGAATAAACCGTCCGACAAGACATGGGATCTTGAGTGAATCACGAAAAAAGGCCTCCGATCAACCCTGAACCGAGCATATTTCCATCATAGCTGGGTTGAAAAGCCGTGGTTGGTATATAAGTGTCGAAAAGTGGGGAAGCTAAACTTGACCGACTTGACCCCAAGAAGAACCTGCGCTTGCTTTCAGGCCAAAAAGGCAACGTCGATTCCCCGACTGGAGTTCCCGACCTCTCCGGGGCCTGACGCCGTGATGTCGGAATCATGTGTTCGCGTGTCGGTTTGGAAGGAAAACAGAAGAGGCCAGAGTCGCCGGGCTCTTGAGTCGTCTGAAAAATAAAGAATCCAAGTAACATGTTTCTTTTGTCTCTAATAGGGATGGCCTCCACCCTAGTAGTGATGGCCTTCTGAGAGAATTGGACCTCCAAGGCTCAGCTTTTGCAGGATATGATTATCTTGATTTGACATCGCTGGTGAAAGGGAGATGGAGATACTCTGGCATGGTGAAGGCATGGTACCACAGTCCTTCGTACCCCGCCTGTCGCCTCCGGTCGCCGGGTGCCAGATCGCCTTGCGGCGCTGGTCTTGTGAAGTGACGTTACTGGTAGCTTCTTGCTCCTAGTAGTAAGGCCAGGATCCCCTAGTAGCGTCCTTGCTCCTAGTAGCGATGCCCTTGCTCGTAGTAGCTTCCTACAGCTGTGAACTCCCAGACCAACGATTGTTCAATCTCCACCTTCACGAGAGAAGTGTCCCCGGGCGCTTTGATGCAATTAATCCACCCTCCTGGAAAAGAAAGAAACATAATGAAACATACAGAAAAATGGACAATTAGCAATCAGTTCTTCGTGGAAAAAAAAGCACCATAGCAAGTGGTGGTGCCCCCAAGGCAAAAACCCACCAGTCACTGTTTAAGGAAAAGTAGATTTAACCTCAATCGCCCTTTTTTGGCGGTTCAAACATAGAGCACGATCCAAAGTCGATGGGATTTGAAAAATTAGACCTCCAAACCTCACATTTCGATAGCGTCCGGAACGTGCCGAGACTGGCACCAAGGCCGCGCGCCTCATATTGGTTCAACGGTCTGACCTTGGGGCTCAGCACACGCAGAGGATCAAAATGTGCGCAGTTCTCAGCAGGTGAACCTGGCTTTGGGTCTCACTCCTGCCATTCCAATCGCTTCCTACATGTCTACACATTCATTGCCATCCGAGCAAGTAGGAGTAGGGGAAATGAAACTCTGCATTGACATATGCGATGTACACATAGCAAAGCAAAAATCAAACACAGTGGCGTCTCACGATGTTAGGTACATGAACTAGCGGCAATCAATGGACTGAAAACAAGGTTCGGGTGGGATGGGCGCGGTCCTCCTGGTTCTTGGTATCTTGATCAAAACAGGCCCGCTGTCATGTTCAAGCACTCCTAGATTCTTAGATGTCCCATTTCAGACTCTTGGAAGCTTCTTCAGCCACGAGACTGATGGAAGCGATGTGCGGGAAGAGGTTCAAAATGCCTCAGCAGCTCACACGATATGATCTGGTACGGTTGGAATCGCCTCCAACCACCGAAAATCAAATCGGCGTGTCCTTCTGAACACATCTGGTTGTTAGTGTGAAGACTCAAAAGACTAGAGGATTTAGTCTATGAGTCTGCGATTGTCAATGCTTTACAGGTGCCATCCTCCGGCTGTGGATCATTGACCCAGGACAATGCAGGCACATCTGACACTCAACATTGAACTGCGGTGACTTCATTGCACCATTCCCCACCAAAGAAGCAACCTGTCATGCAGTCACCAGAAGCGAACTAAACAGCGAGAGCCCAGTTCGCACCTATCAGATCAGAGCACATGCAACCCCTGACCTTTGTGCAATTCCACCCAACTACCTCATGACTCAACTGAGCTCCTGTTGCATCGTCCGCACGAGACTTTTCTCCCATCGCCTTGTAGGGCCCCCTGCCACCGCCCACAACAAAGCCACTTCCGGGAGAAACAGTCAGATCACCTGCAGTGCTCGTCTGGCGAAACTGAAAACCAAAACGCTGGGTACAGTGCGGTTGGTGAATGAAGTCTTGCACTGCGAGGAAATGTGAGGCAGCCCCAAGTAGACTAAAGCTCTGAAATGAGGTGTTCTCAACTGGTGTCTTTTGTCTTGCAGAGCAGATTCAGCTGGCCTCGGCATCCAAAATGCTTATTACAAAATGCAAAACCCTTCAAATTGATGGAGATTGTTAAACAGCCCAGTCTGAGGCTCAGCGATGGATGATATCCTGGGGGGTCCAACATCGAATCTTGTTTTCTACGCATGTTGAGCATTCCAAGAAGTGTCAGGAAAACAACCAGACTTAACATATCAGAATGTCTCGTTCAGCAGGCTGAGGCGGTGACGACCACCTCAACGGGGTCATGTATGAATCTTTGAGCCAAGATGACCGCCAGACAAACGGCAGGATGATCGAGAAATAGCCCAAGTTCCACAACCAGGGTTGACGAGTTTAAGCGATTCCTTCCTATCAAGAGTTGACGAATTGAATGGTTTTGTTGTCTTTTTGGGGGGCTGAAAGTGAGTGCATGTTCTCCGTCTTGCAAGTTGACTGGATAACAGGCCTGGTTACTAGATGTTGCTATTTGCTTCAAAGTCTAGAAGGTTTGAGGGTCATAACTCATTTAACGACAGTCGCTGACTGAGAACACTTGGAGTCTCATGTGTTTGGTTGCTTGCTCTGTTGTGGCTTGCACGATTGGTCTTGAAGTCGGACTACTGGGATTACAACAATCATGTGCTGAATCAAGTGAAACGGAATCTGATAATTGACAAAAACAGCGAAGACTTGGCGAAAAGTTTCAAGTCAAGCAGCGCAAAAGCGAATGGTTTTTTCAACCTGCCCAAACTGGCTCGGGCCTGCCAATGCATCACTTTGTGATGACTACAGCTAGGCGAGTGAACGTCTTTTTTTGTGAACAGTGAACACGAAACATTTGCTAGATGGTCTACCTTCCCTCCTTCACTGGCATTTATTCATGTTTAACCCTAGCTCCGATCCTCAGCCTTCCAAAATGGAAAAGTTCAAACATCAAGTTACGAGTGCAAAAGCGCTGCTTCCATTATTTGACAGCATGTGTTGAGCACCCAGGGCGGTGGGAAGCCTTCCTAGCCTAGGCTCTCCTTAAGCAAACCGACTGTCCAGCACAACACACGGTGTGTCAGCCATCAAGGCAACAGCATGTCTTTTGCTTGAGGAGTTGCCACATGCTGGCGCTTCAGAAGCGCACCGCTCACATAGCATCCAAGGCATAGATTCAAGCGACTTTAGGGGAACACTCTGCGACTGTAGCAGGGACGTCCTTAAGCAAAATCAATGCAAGGTCTGGTCTTTCCTTTGCCCAATTACACAACATGTCATGCAAATTGGTACGGTGGAAGTGGAAGGCAAAAGAATTGCTATTATTGTAGCAGTTGGAACTAGGGGAAACCACTACGCAACGCTCTTTCTGTGGTTTAAGCTCCTTAGGTCCTTAGGGTTCTTCCTACGTAGCTATCTAAACAAGATAAGCGGCACAAGGCGTGCTTAAGCAAAGGATGCCATTCTGCGATTGCAATGCACGAAACAGACATCATGGGATATCGGATATCTCGTCAAAGGCTGATTGAGGATACGCATGACAGTGGTTAAAGTCTTGATATCGCACTTTAGACTCTGTTAAACAGCCTTTTGCCATCGGCAATTCAGGACAAACGCTGTCTACGAGCTTTTCCTGGGATGGAATACCTTCGGATCTGCATTCTCAGCGACGATAGTGATAGTGTGCAACTAAAATATGATCCGGGGTGCTACGTGTTGGAAAGGATCGTTGGTCCTTTTGAACCTTGGGCAAAATTATGAGGTTACGCAGAAACAACTTCCAGCAACATGCGCTATGCATAACTTCAACTCACAGGATAGCAAATATTCAACCTCCGCTTCATGATGGCGCGCCTAACGAATGCCTGGAATTGGCTTCAAAGGCTTCAAAGCCATACCAGTAGGGAGAATACTCATACTGAAACTGAAACTATTTTGTTTTTGAATCAAGCATGTCATCACGAAAGAACAAGATGGGAGGGAGGGGTGCACCTGCATCTGTGCCTTTCTTGGCTGGGTCCAATAAAAGGTCTTGACTGATGAACGCTTTGCGACGATGCTGAAAAATAGGATTCCTACAAATGCATCAGGCCACGCAGTGCGAACAAACGAACAAGCCTCTGGGTGACCCTTGCAATGGCACTGCGATGTTAAGTGACACAAAATTAACCTTTATATAAACCCATTGTACCTTCACCTCAGCTCATAGTAGCGCTACATCTGTCAACAGGCATCCTTGCGCCACCTTCCAGGAAACTTGCGGAGGAGACTTGCATGACCAGCACAACCCGAGGAATAATTTTAGAGGAATGACCTGTGTCACCGCAGTCAGTCTTGTGCACCAAAAGCTTGGCTGCAACTGAGCGATGGAAGTCTTGTGCTTTAGCTCTTACAGGAAACCCTCCAGCGGTTTCTCCACAACCTGCCCCTAGTTATTCTCGTGTCTGCAGAAAGTGACCTGAAGGGTGACTATGAAGGTAGCAGGAACCTGTATCACTCTGTTCCATCTGTCCCAGCTACGTGTTGTAGCCCTACCGCTGACACACTGGTCGGTTCGGTAGAAAAAGATCTTGGAATACATAAGAACGTGCAAGACAAAACTAATTAGCGACAACAGCATCAAGTCCGAAACGCCACGTCTTCAGCGTTCGTCCACCTCTTTCAAGAATCAAACGGGCAAAACCTTCAAGTTCACTTGTGGAAATAAATGGCCGGTAACCAAAAATCGCCCCTCGAGGGAGGGCGCGGCCACAGTGATGACTCTGATCCCTTTCATGGCGTCCTGGAATGAGTCCCTGATGTCGTTGAGCACACACGGCATCAAACATTCGTTTCAAGTATCGTACCAAGACGGCAAAATCATCAGTTGCAGCAATCGATGAAAATCGAAAGTGGCGCACCACAAAAAGGAAGGCGATTTCGACATACGCGACCGAGAGGTCCGATCCGGCTTTCCACTTAAGTGCAAGGATGAAGGATTGGAGTGCATCACAGTCCTTGTCAGAAGAAAAGGATCCGCAGCAATCAGCAACGGAATGAGTACGCTTGGGTTTCCAAGTAAAGAGGCTGACATCTGGTGTCCAATCCCATTCTGGAAAACGGCTGCGGACGGAAAATTCCTGGTCAGGAGCTTGTTCTTCCTTGGTGAGGTATACATTCTTGATCGGTTGATCCTTGCCGATTGCACAATTTAATCTTGCAAGGCACGCCTGTCGTGTGAAGACTTCGTGTTTCAACATAGTGTACATGGAAGGAGCAACTGGTGCAAGATCAAGTGCAAGGGCCTTGGCATGGCTATCGGCCAATTTGTTGCAAATAAGGCACTGTCGTGGCCAGCCAAGCAATGCAGCCAATTCATCCGTGATCAATATTGTCACACATATGTGCAGGGACCCACTGAACCCTCAATGGATCATCTGACACAGCTGATCGCAGATCATAAACTTTCAAAAGTTCTTTCCACCATACGGAGTGAGCCCAACCTTTGGGCACAACACGTTCACGAAGGAGTGTACCAAACTTGTCAACAAAAGTCTTGCAGTCCGTATAGATTAAGATAGGGCCTTGCGAACAAAAGAAAGTATAAATGATTGCATAAAACTCAGCAGTGAAAGAAGAGAGCGCAAAGGAGTTGACACGCCCTTTGTAAATACATTGCTGGCTTTCGTCTATCACAGCAAAAGCAGCTGTTTGAAGCCAGAACGACTCTGCGTTGACCATTGATCCATCCGTCCAAAATTCCTTGAGGGGCGTTGTTACGCAGAACTCAGCAGGACGTAGTAGCGGAGTTGGCTCAAGTCGGGCATCGCATAAGCCCGCAGGGTGTTCAACAATTCCCAGGCTCACGAAGTTTGGTCCAAGATCATGCTTCGGGGCATTTCTCACCTCTTCAGGTGCTGCCTGGCATTCATCCACCAAATGCCAAAGAGACTCCTTAGTTTGA